TCTCTCTCTCTCTCTCTCTCTCTCTCTCTCTCTCTCTCTCTCTCTCTCTCTCTCTCTTTCTCTCTAAATAAGTACAAAGTTTCAATGAAGTTGGCTGTAATTAATTGAAATATTTTCTCGCGACATTTAAAAAAGATTTATTTCAACGCTTAAAGGCTTAATCTCAAGTGATCTTGAATCAAACATTAAATTTTGTTTTCTAAAATATAGTGTACATATATGTATACTCATACATACAATTGATTATTTTAAATTCGCGACAATTACGCTTGCAAATTTTGCAAAAGTTTTTTTGGATACAGAGATTCGATGTTACAAACGCTTATTTTTTAGTGCAAAGCACCGCTCTACAGACCATTTGTCAAAGCTAACTGAAGTTTAATTAACAAAAATACGAATTGCCTAAAATAAAAGAGAATAATCTAGACGCTAAGCGTATCATGCAACAGAGAAAAGAAGGATATGAAGAAGATTGCAATGTGGAAGATTGTGAACTCCTACGAACAAACTAGAATGTTTGGCAAAACTTGGTGCCTTTTATTTCATACATGAGAAAAAAAGATGAACATTTTTTTACTGTACTTTAATTATACAAAGAACGGTTAAGAAGCTTCCAACGCCAAACGACCAAAATGAATGAACGAAAGAAAATAATTGCTCTTCCCTCAGGGCTTCTTTGCAAAGCTATTCAATTTTTATGGCGTTTTACTTTAAGAAGGAAAAGGAAAAAAAACTAGCATTTGGAGACCTCGAAATTGCAAAAAAAGAAAAAGTAAAAGAAAACCGATGGAAGTTTGGAAGGAAACGTATGCATTGTGTATCGTAGAAGTATATTATGTCCAGGGTTTATTGCTTGTTTTTGTATTTTCTTAGATCTTTTTGAACGAAAACTTCTTCCAAACTATATAATTTGGTATATCGAAGGTCACGATAAAGGGTACTAAACACTGGTCAAATTTATTGCATTGCGATATTCGCAAATAGTGTTAACAAAAAGATAGGATAAATGTTTATTTATTGTATAAAAATATCGCATACTAGTCAAACTTGATAGGCTTAAGTCAAGAAACAGGGATTGAGTATATCACACAGTACATCGACCATTGGTTGCGCATGTATTATTTATGCGAGCAAGAAGGATAGAATATTTCTATAACTATAATGAGCTTATACATGTAAAAATTAATGATAACTATGTGTACTTAGCATAAGAATGGCTTTCTAAGAAATTTCTGTTTTTTTCTTTTCCTTGCCGGCTTGAAAAGTCGTGCAATGTTAACGAGAATAGTCGAATATAGAAAAACCTTCAATGGCTCGGTTCTGGAATGTGTGAGAGTTTTTTAAGAATCAAAATAGTAAGATATTGTGTCCTATTAGCAAAGATAAATCAACCTAATGACAGTACACGATTCTATATTCTTCTATGCTTGTTTGTATCTTTAAGTAGGATCGCTGTTTGTAAGTTTCATAATTATCACAAGGTGCAAGCGATTGTAGTCTTGTTGTTGACAAATGAAAAATCAAACTTACCATGGTTTCCTATGTTGCGAAAGAAGGCCTTAAATATTTCCACTTGTAAACACAAATACACGAAAACAAGAAGATTTACTACGTTGTTAAGAGTGAACACACTGGTAGCATAAATGAAAATAATAATAATAATAAAAGGAAGAAGAAAACTTAAGGAGATACTGCCGTGTGAAGAAAGATTGAGGGAAAGGAAAAAAGAGTATCGTTTTCTTTATGACGTATAAAAAATATTTTGATACCTTCAGATTTGCACAAATCGAGTGTCATTCATTACTGCTTAAATAAGATTATTTTTACTGAATGCAGCTCAAAATAATAACACCGTATATAAAAATTACGTGAGATTAAGAAGCTCCAAGAACTGTGTGAATGTGCGGATCACAAAAACAATTAATAAATACATGTTTAAAACTTGTAAAATTGTGTTTGTTGTAGAAACCTAAAGGTTTGAGTCTTCTCATTATTTTTCACGATTCAAATCGATCGCCACAACAACACAACGTTCGTCGAGCACGTGCTCGTGATAAATTTGATATTTCGATGTTTACCATTCTCTATTGCAGATTTATTATTAATAATTATTTTTGTTAAATCATCAAAAGAATTTTCATTCGTGTTGTATATCTGAAAAGTATTTCTTTTTTACTTTTTATTGACTCTAATAAAAAAATACATGTTTGTACGTATTGTATGTATGTAATTGCTAGATATTTAAAATTCTAATAATCTTTCAATCAGTTTCGGAGTATTTATAGATGATGCTATCGTACTGCTTTCGGTGCTGTCAAAGTCTATCGAAATTCTTAATTTTCCTTCGATATTTCCGTTGAATCAAATTTTCTAAATAATATTTAAAAATTTGTTAATTTCGATTTATAGAAAAACCAATTAATTAACTAGATTATTTGTATAGAAGCATTTGTGTTAATTTGAATATACATAAATGTTGTTAACTTTGATCAACTTCTTCTTGTAAGAAATGAAAATAATGTTCGATGATGTTTCAATGAACGTGAAATCTTTACTTGATCTGGAACAGTTAGTTTGGTATTACGTATGTAATATTGAAAATTGCGAAATTACAAATACGAGGAATCGATACATAGAATGAAATTTAAATTTCATAGAATCAAGAATATTAGAAAGTTGGTAATGATCGCGGTATATACATATATCTGCATTGGTGCTATGTAAATAAGTTATCTAAGTAAGTACATACTACATACATATACACATATTTAGATGTGAATTGTCCATACATATGTACGTACGTACGTACATAAGTACATACATAAGTAATTGGCGATTGCTGTATGTAGTATATGTAGTTAGTGTAGCTCAGTGCACCTCTCAGCCGTAATATATATATATATTAAGCTATACAATAGATATCGCCATCTATGAGATTGTCGGTCGTTCGTTCATATTGTATGTATGTTGTAGCGTATTGAAACTAAAACATAAAATAACATTCAGCGGATCGATCAATTTGATAATCAAGTTACGTGTAAGTCTATAACAATAATAGTATATTTCTATCGTCATTTTAAACTTTTCGTTTTGTAATATTTTCTAGAAAGCTATATCGTTAACCTTGACTAACGGTTCATCATTGGTAGCGCACCATATTGTGTTAATTTTTATTAAGATTATTTTATTAAAATATTCCATAATATATGTATGAAATCTCATAATATAGTTATCAGGCAAACAGATGCTTTTATAAATTGTTCTTAAATTTGTTACACGTTCGCAGTGTAAGGGAAAGTAAACCAAATTGTTTATTTATTACAATTGGTACCATATGGAGAAATAGAAGGCTCTTGCACAGTATGCCATATGTAGTAAAGTATCGTTTGCTGTATTTATTTTTTAATCGGTAGGTTTAATATGTCATCGAAGATTAAGAACCTGGTCAATTCAAATTTAAATGTATCGCAAGATCAAAAGAATGTGGAAGACAATCAATATTCTGTAGTTGATCAGAAAGATGATCACAATGCAGAGTTTAAATTTGATGAACAGGATACAAATAAGAAATTAATTGCTAGTGAGTCAGGAATTCCTTATAATCTGATCTACGAGTCTGAAGATGAATCTCCAATAATGGAAACTTCAATGGTCGCGAATGAAGTAAAAATAGAAGGTATTAATAAGAAAATACACATAAGAATTATTTGTGATTAATAGATGCAGTAATTGACGTTCCTACTTATTTAACACACGTTCCTTTGTCCCTCTTTTGTAATTTATTCTCTTAATATAGTTTTGTCGATTACATTAACAGGCACTTTGAAACAGCTAATGTTCTAAGGTTTCCCACTCTGTCCTTCTCTTCTGCCTCTAATGCAATAAAGAAATCAATGTGGGGGCCATTGTTTGAATTATAGAATAAATTTAATATCATAATACGTTAGTGCTTTCAAAATGCCAGTGCAATACAGAAATAGGAGAAGATTAGCGAGATATCAAGGTACCATTGCCAGTTATAGATTAATTACTGTGTTCTCTGTGGGAAGCTTATAGTTGCATTGTATTTTATGCAGTACATATAGTTGTACAAATCATAAAAATCAATGAATTATGTGTTTCAAAGAAGATTCCTCTGACTCTAGAGAATGTTGGATCTCGGACGAATTCCGGTGCTCAATCCAAAAGTGACCATAAAAGTCATGATTCTAATAAGCCGAATCAGCAAGAATATGATGCCAGCATAGATGAAAGGTTACCAGAAACAGTGACATTGCTCACTACACCCAACGGTGGAAAGTTGTATTTAGTGGGAACTGCGCACTTTAGTGTTGAAAGTCAAAACGACGTGTCTATGGTAAATAATAGTCTTTAAGTTATTACTTTTTTTTAAAAATGTCATATAATATATCTATTATTTTAAAAAATACGAAGATAAGTTTAAATACACCTTTTTTACAATTTAAGATCATTCAAGCTGTCCAACCTCATATAATCGTGGTTGAATTATGCAAAGCTAGAGCCCAAGTAATGCAATTTAGCGAAGAAGTTATACTTGAATACACAAAGAATTTAACATACCGTAAGTATCTGTAATCAGTTACATTTCGTATTAGCTGACATTTATGTAAATTCATTCTGTACTAGTGTCTGTTTCGCGACTGGTAGGAAAACATGGAGTTTGCTATGGATTGTTACACATGTTGTTATTAAGAGTGGTAGCCCAAATTACTAAACAACTCGGAATGGCACCTGGTGGTGAATTTCGCAGAGCATTCGAAGAGGTATGCTGGAATAGATAGGCGAACCGTTATACTTATTAATAGAAATAATTTTAAATGATGCTGTATTATCGTAGGCAAAGAAATTACCAAACTGTATTATTCATTTGGCTGATAGACCGTTCAACATAACGATACAGCGTGCTTTGAGATTGTTAACCTGGTGGCAAACTTTCAAGTTGGGATGGTGTTTGATCAATTTAAAATCGATTGACATTAGCAAGGAATACGTTGAGGTCTGTAAACAGAAAAGTCTGCTGGACAATCTGATACATGAATTGAAGGAGGAATATCCACCAATAGAGAAAGTGTTTGTGAAAGAAAGAGACTTGTACCTTACGCACTCTCTTCAAACAGCATGTATGGTTCACCTTACTGCGAATGAAGTAATACCACCTAGAGTCGTAGGAATTGTCGGCATAGGACATACTCCGGGTATCATAGAAAATTGGGGAAAAGTGATCCCTTCTGACATACCACCAATTATGAGGTATAACATTTATATAGGCTTCAAGCGAAGCTTAGTGGAAAGTAATTTATCGTTTTCTTGTTTTGTTTACAGCGTACCTCCTCAACCATTGTCGAGTAAAATATTATTGTACACTGTTAAGATTTCGTTGCTAAGCGCTGTAATTTATGTAGGGTATAAAATTTTACCAATGCCCTCGGGTGTCACGTTGCAGTCTATCAGATCGTCTGTTGATCGACTATTGAAGGTTATTGTGACAAAGTAGAGCATACCTGGAGGTTGGATCTCTAAGACGTTTGGGTCGAAACAATTTATCTCCGAAAGAATGGTTTTTCTCTTTCTTGTTCTTGTGCTGCGCATATTGTAGAAAGTATATATCTGAGACTTTCGTTGGTTCACCGTTTACGATGAACACAGAGGTAAATATGGAAGCGACTGGAAGCGCGGACGAATACGAGCATAATATTCCGAATGTTATGTACATAACGAATAACATACCTGGCCCGGGTATAGATCTAGATGACTTTGAATCAGAATACTTGCTAGGTTGTTCGTGTATAGAGAAATGCTCGGATGGTTGTTCGTGTACACGTGGTTCTCCAAATTACCTCAATGATCGACTACTCGATGAGAAACTGGATGGACCCGTTATCGAGTGCAATCCTAATTGCGCCTGTAGGGAAACTTGTGGAAATAGAGTGGTACAACGAGGTCCGATGGGCTGTTTGATGGTGTCTCGGATAGATGGAAAAGGTCTTGGCTTGGTTACCGCTAAATTCATTGAAAAAGGGCAATTCGTTTGCGAGTACGCCGGCGAGGTGATAAGCATTGAAGAAGCTAGGCAAAGAGTAGAGGCGAATAAGAACAGTATGAATTACGTTTTGGTGGTTTCTGAACATGTCGGAGATCGGAGTATCGTAACGTGTATAGACCCAAAATATTTTGGTAACATTGGACGATACTGTAACCATAGCTGCGAACCGAATGCTAGTCTTATGCCTATCAGAGTGGAAGCGCTAGTGCCTCGATTATGTTTGTTCGCATCTAAGAATATAGCTATCGGGGAGGAAATCACTTTCAACTATGCCGGAGGAGTTCCTAATTCTGTCCAGGAAATCAGCAACACACCCTGCCTTTGTGGTTCTAACAATTGTGTCGGCTATTTGCCTCATAATTTTATTTAAAGATAACCGAAAGTAAGAGCCGTTGTTGTAGAATTATTTTGTTTGGATACGTTGTGCGATTAGGTGCATCTTCGTTTATTTATGTGCAAGATGCTGAACGAGAACTGCCATCTAAGATCACTTGTTTCATGTTAATTGTACTAAAAGACCTTTTAAATGAATTAGAAATGATCATTCTTGTTGATATCAATCGGAGATGAGTTGTTTTAAATAATAGCTTTTATTAACTCGCTATGTATTATATGTAGCATTTTAATTTCAATCGTAGACATAGAATGTCCATGTGCCAATCGATTAAAGAAATTTTTATTGGTTGGCAGTTTAAATGGAATTACAGATTAATTTGTTTGCAGTCTGCTTGTTTACAGGTTTAAACTAGTGTTAGCATTAACTGATCAAAGGAAACGTGTTTGTTGCACGTTCGTGTCTATAATTCATAGTCCAGAAATTAGTTTCTCGTTGAAGCGAGAAGAAATAAAATGCTTCGAATAATGATGCAATATGTTGCTAAACATAGAGAAGAACATTCAAGCCACAGTTCTCTAATGAATCGAATTTAACGAATTGGAGCAAGGTGACATAGTTATCCTGTTGATGAAACGTCATTGTTTCAACTGCATCGACTTGTAATATTCAATGTACTACACATTTGAAATGTTTTTGTAATCGATGTATTATGTAAGTTATGCTTTATATAATGGTACAGTGTACACATATTTGTACAAATATACATACATTACATACACGCGCGCGCGCACGCACACAGGTATAAATAAATAAATAAATAAAGATGTAAGGTTTGCGCATATACATATTATACAGTTCAATAATGGTTCTGGCGGGTACTGTTCAATGCAAAGTGTTTTCTAATGTATTTAATATTATTGTTTACATTGAAAAAGAAACTGTTAAAAAAATCCAGATTTCTCACGATACTTAGTAACATAATGTAAAAGCACGTTGTATTTTAATCTTTGAATTGAATAAAGTACCGAAATGTGTAAAAAAAAAAAGAATATATAAGTCAAGATTCGTGTTATAACTGGAACAAGTTCTGAGCGGTTGCGGTTTTTTGTTTGTATTTCTTAGAAGAATATCATTTCAATCGAACAGAACAAATTTGTTCGGTATTAGAGATTTATTAAATTACCAGTTCGTTCAACTTTGCAATGTTCATCGTCGACAACCAAAGTAGTACGTTACTTCGATCTTTTGATCGATGATCAAAGGAAACGATCTCTAACGTTACAACTGTTTTAATAATTTTATTTTCAAATGTTTTCATTAACATACATGTTGCTTTAAAAATGTAAATTGTTGTTCAACACAGAACTTTGAAGAAACGAAAGATTCAATTAATTTTCAAATATTCATCATTGCTGGCAGTATAATTCAACATTTCTCTGAAATTCTTCTCTTCTCGTATGTATCTTCGTTTTCGCATATAATTACAATGCAGCCGCAGCTACCTGTGTGCCCTCTGAAAATTATACATTGTTCGGATCATCTTCTTCCCAAAACTAGCGTCATTGGGAAACTAATGTTTCTTCAGTCTACCGATTAGCGTCTAAGCGTTTTGTTTATTGGACTTATTGAACAGATACTGATTCCTTTGTGTCGTTGCAGTATCTCCAACGCATCCACGTTACTCTCATACGGTCCCAGATATTTTCCAACGAGTCCATAGCAGGTCTGACGTCGAGCAGCGCGAAAATATACTTTTCGTTCACCGTAGGACCCTCATAGTAATCAATAATATACCTGACGTCCTTACCGCATCTATCGATAATCCAATCGTGACGGTCGAATGGCAACTCGTACCTGAAATATCATAGGATTTTATAGAAATGTTCAACATTGCAAAACTGTTACATTGTATTGGTTCATTATGTACCCCATCCAATGTCGGATACGAGCACGCGGCGAGTACTGCGAGGCCTTGCCTCCAAAGCTGCGAAGCCTCGGGGTACCGCATTCTTTCGCATGCAATGCCTCCCATTTGAGTACTTCTTGCCAGGCTTGTTCGTTGTTGGCATTATGAATCTTTATTATGTTGTTCATGTCGTTTGGCGAGATGTCTTCTTTCTTCCACCGCCAACCTTTCCTAAGCATGGCATTCCAAAACATCTGTTGAGACGGGTACACCCAGAACTCGTTCTCAGGCGTTGCTTTCGGTATCGAGGAGACTTGTCTATCCGTAGGCAATGGGAAAGGCTGATCCGGTGCTGGTTGTTGATTTGCAGCCGGCATCTGTAAACGTTCGTTCCAAGTAATAATTCTCATTAAAAGAGAAGAAAATTAGTTGTATTTACCATGTTGAGAGGATTAATTGCTTCTCCCGAATGATCTACTGGACATTCGCTAGTGCCCTTAGGAGGTGCACTCGGCGTTGATTTATGCATTGGACACTCTGGTGGTGGCTCTCCTTCCAATTTGCTTGTCCCACGATGACGAGGACTGTTTGGGATCAACGGTTCCGGCCCTGGTAGAAGTTTGTTGGCCACAGATGCGGAAGATGCCAATACATTGCCCATTGTCCTTGGATTTTCTATAATATACATCGTCGATAGCATTTTACTTGCGCTGTCAGAGAAAAGAGGAGGCGAAGGGAGCACTATCGAGTAGACGTAGCAAATTGGGGACAGATCGGTCTGAGAATTGGTACAACCGTAAATAATAATATATAAAGCAATCAGAAGTCACATTTAGATGATATTAACTATTGTCACTTTCATTCAAGACAATTGGAGGAACTGATGTTGCAGTAACCTACAGAGATTATGCAACACAGTGTGCACGTTTTATAGCTAAAAGTAACAGGTTTGTTTTAACGACAACGCAATAAGTATTACTTTATCACAGTATAGAAAGTAACACTTACATGTAATTATAGCTGTGACAGGTGTATGGTTGTTAACAAGTTACAATGATTCGGTCGGTCGATTTCGTTTTATTGCTCCTTTTCAGCGTCTAAGTGTCTCGTAAGACGTAATGATCATAGATAAGGTTAGAATACGAAAAAAAATACGCAACAATGCATTTTGAAGAATTGGAACACCTCAATTCCGAATTCTTCTCTATGCATGCGGCTGCATACTGCATAGGGGCACATACAAAATTGTATAATGTACGTACGTACGTATTATGTACCACGGACTATATGTATACATGTGTATGTGTGTTATGTATCTATGCACATACGTAGTCTGTAGTATACATATGTAATGCGTATATACATATGTATGTATGTATGCATGCATGTATGTATGTATGCATGTATGTATGTATGTATGTATGTATGTATGTATGTACACAATGAGTAGTTAGCCAGTGGTAGGCCGGAACGTGCTGCAGAGTGATGGAGGGGGGATATATATATATCATATATCATAAATGGGACACCACCCGCTGGTTATAGCATCTCTGCTCTGACAAGATAAGAATCGCTGAATGGAATAGAGTTGTCTATCTCAAGTCGCTAAACTCTACGTTTAATACTGAAATCTCACAATGTCAATGGGAAAAAGATGGTTCATAAAACAATTTGCAGTTTTGCCTAGGACTCGGCGTATAAATGAATTGAACTTATCGGTCGGTAGATTTTCAAGTACTTTTTTAATCAATGAAAATACTTATAATATATACACTACAATACACTCGATGTCTGTTCGCATGATTTCCGGACGCGGAGTCGTAAACTGGAACACCTCTTGCGTTACAAACGTATATATGTATGTATGTACATGTATGTACAAAACATATGGGGTTTTGCAACCGATGGCGGTATGTCGTGTGCTTGTCTCGCCTTATTCGTAGCAGTTGATTATCCTACAATACTGTATAGAAAGTACACGCATACGATTCGAACCGCGGATGAGTCGAGAAAAATTTCTTCAAAAAGATTCCACAAAATTGCCGAGAGCAAATGCAGAAAATGAAGGATTTGAAGGATGTTTTAAGACTACATACACGTACAGACAGATTATATGCGCGCAAACAATTAATCTTCGGTTCGCGTGTAATTTTGCCGATGCTACATCGTTGAAAGCCGATTTTGATACGATACGGCCATTGTTGTTCACCGATAATTAGAAAAACAACACATCAAAAAGAAAAGAAAAATTCTAGAAGGGGTAGTACATGATTTGTCCGTTTTCCGTCAGAGGGATATCCAATCGCGCTGGTATGTATGTACGTATGTATGCATGTATGTATGTATGTATGTATGTATGTATGTATGTACACAATGAGTAGTTAGCCAGTGGTAGGCCGGAACGTGCTGCAGAGTGATGGAGGGGGGATATATATATATCATATATCATAAATGGGACACCACCCGCTGGTTATAGCATCTCTGCTCTGACAAGATAAGAATCGCTGAATGGAATAGAGTTGTCTATCTCAAGTCGCTAAACTCTACGTTTAATACTGAAATCTCACAATGTCAATGGGAAAAAGATGGTTCATAAAACAATTTGCAGTTTTGCCTAGGACTCGGCGTATAAATGAATTGAACTTATCGGTCGGTAGATTTTCAAGTACTTTTTTAATCAATGAAAATACTTATAATATATACACTACAATACACTCGATGTCTGTTCGCATGATTTCCGGACGCGGAGTCGTAAACTGGAACACCTCTTGCGTTACAAACGTATATATGTATGTATGTACATGTATGTACAAAACATATGGGGTTTTGCAACCGATGGCGGTATGTCGTGTGCTTGTCTCGCCTTATTCGTAGCAGTTGATTATCCTACAATACTGTATAGAAAGTACACGCATACGATTCGAACCGCGGATGAGTCGAGAAAAATTTCTTCAAAAAGATTCCACAAAATTGCCGAGAGCAAATGCAGAAAATGAAGGATTTGAAGGATGTTTTAAGACTACATACACGTACAGACAGATTATATGCGCGCAAACAATTAATCTTCGGTTCGCGTGTAATTTTGCCGATGCTACATCGTTGAAAGCCGATTTTGATACGATACGGCCATTGTTGTTCACCGATAATTAGAAAAACAACACATCAAAAAGAAAAGAAAAATTCTAGAAGGGGTAGTACATGATTTGTCCGTTTTCCGTCAGAGGGATATCCAATCGCGCTGGTATGTATGTACGTATGTATGCATGTATGTATGTATGTATGTATGTATGTATGTATGTATGTATTTATGTAATCTATGATCCGTGATCCGTCAATCGTCGATTCGTGTTGAAATCGATTAATTCCTCGCGATCTTCGTGGATTCTTTGTTTCCGGTGACGTGCTCCAGATCGAGGCTGTCGTATTCAAGACCCGCCGTGTTGTCGTAATAGGCGTAATCGTAATCAGATTTCTTGCCAGACTTTGGTCTCGGTGTAGTGGACGGAGGAAGTCTGGTCGTCGACGAGAAAGGCCTTGCCGATCCACTAACGTAACTGCTGCTTCTGGCTGTGGTAGAACTTACCGGAGGTCTTTGCGTGTTGTTCGGGTTGTTAAGGTTGTTGGGATTGTAGGTGGTTACCGAAGACGCTCTCCTATAACCAGCAGAAATGTGTTCTCTTTGTTCATAAATCGATGAGCATTATAAGTAGATAGAGACGATCGAATAGGTTAGGTGAAATTATATAGCGAAAGGTCGAGGAGGTTAGGAGAAAGATGTTGATATCCGTACTACAACTGCAACTAAACTCTCTTATGCTATTCTAGGGCACGCGAACGAATCGTGGTTTACCTTGGTACCGGAGTGGTGGATCTAGGAGTCTCGGCCAGATGGTTGATGCTCGCAGGACTGAAACCGATGCCCACAGAAGACCTTGCTATGTCGTAGTTGCCGGTGCTGGTCTCGGTATAGTATTTGCCGTTCGTTGAGTCGTAATTGTTATACTGGGTGGCTTTTTTGGGGGCCTTGGTGCTCTCGTAATATTGCGACGAGCTCTTGGCCGGCTGACTGCTGCTCTTGTCGTAGTACTGGCCATTATCGTGGGTCCTCGTGGCACCCTGACTCGCACCATCGTTGGAGACGAATTTGTTGGTAGCTGGACTATAGGTGGTGGGCGCGAAGCTACCGGTGGCATAACTGGGGAAGTATTTCGCGGTAGCCTGGGAGACGTCCTGCCTGGTGCTGCTGCTTCTGTACTGACCGTTGTTGTTGTTGTTGTTGTTGTTGTTGCCGTTGTAGTTATCGTAAACCGTTGGTACGGGCGTGGAGGATTGGTAGCTATTTCCGGGCGTCCGTTGAATGTTGTTGTAACTTCTCTGGTAGTTGGTGTTGTAGTCGTTGGCCTGGTAGCTGGTGCTCGGCTGGACGGTGGTGGGTTGTTGGGCGTATTGGCCGCCGTTGCCGTAGCTCTGGTAATTCTTGTTGTAGCCGGTTGGCTTCGCGGTGGTACTCTGACCGAAGCTGCCAGCATTCTGATTGTAGTTCTGGTTGTAATTCTGATTAACGTTGCCGTACGCGTTATAGACGGTGGTCTTTGCGGTGGTGCTGGTCGACTGGTAGCTGTAGCTGTCCTGATAGTTGGGTCTGTAGGTCGAGGAGGGCGCCGAATTGTATCTCTGCGTGTTCTGGGCCTGGTTCCTGTTGCCGTTCTCTTGCGGCCTGGCGCTGGTCGTGGGCACGTATCCGGTGACCCGTTGATTATAGTTGTTTCCGCTGTAGAACCCGGTGTAGGTGTTCTGATTGGCTACAGCCGGTGAAACGGGCGAAGGAACGGATACGGGCGCAGGGACAGCCGTACTGGAGGCGTATTTGGCATTGTCGTTGAACTGCTGCTTCCTGCTGACCTTCCTTACTCCCGGTTTTTGCGTTTTTCTGGCCCCGTCCTCTTCTTTATAGTTCTTCTCGTTCTCGTAGTCCTCCTCCTTGCCTCCGTTTCTGTTGTTGTAGAAGCTGCCGGTGCTGCTGCCCCGCAAGTCTCCCCGATTGCCGTTGCCGTTATAATTGCCGGAGGATGATACCCTGTTCAGATTGTTGGCCGAAGAACGGACAGGATCGCTGGTCTCGCTGCGCTGCAAATGGTCCTGAGGCTCCGCGTCGCTTCGATAATTGTCGTAACGAGGCGACTCCAGACCGGAACCGATTCTGTAGAGGTCGAAGTTGTCGCTCGCGTAGTAAAGGGTGGCAGCCTCGCAGTCCACGTCGTACCAGTCCGCGCAGGTCTGGCTTTCCTGGTCGAACGCCGTGTCGTTCGGGCAGAGGAACCTTTTGGACAGGAGGGAGAAGGGCAGCTTGGTTATTTCAAGCTCGATATCCGAAAGCTCGTAGAAACGGGAAGACCACGCGACGCGGAATCGGGGTACGGTACACCCGAAGTACGTTCGCAGGGGTCGCGGCTTCGTTCCTTCTAGCTTACTTGTAGTCCTGGACGGTGCCTGCGACGGACACGCAGACATGAAACACCTGGCAGTCGGTCTCAGGGTCAGCGTAGTAGCTTCCTACGATCTTGTTGCGACAGGTGAACGATGTTTCCGGCATGTATTGCTGGGAGTATCTGGGCGGTGGCCGCTGGAGCCCGAGAGCGCAAGCACCTAGCACGATCATCGGCACTGGAACCAAACCGAGAACCTAGGTTACTTGGATGTTCCGGCTATGCAGAAAGCTTTCCGAGATTTTCCGAGCTGTCCCTTTATACGCGTCCCTTTCGGTGCGGCCTTGGGTTTCGAGGGGACAGAGGTGAAACGTTTACTTTAACGAGCGTTTAAAACTGACTCGCTTTACCAGCATTGAAAATGATCATTTCGAATGACATATTTCCGAATCATTGTTAAATTCTATTGGCCAAGATATGTATTTTCTATAGGTACATGTGTATAGAAAAGAAGAGGGGAACGGAAGACAGAAGTCCTTTTGGACCGCGTTAGACCGCTCGGCAAGCCGCTTACTCGCACAGTCGGCACTCGTTGTCGGCCTAAAGCCACCGTCGTCGAGCACAACTTGGAATTCTCTCCGCCGAAATGTTGCAATTAAAACACTGGTCCCGGGCAGAGGCGAGACCAGGAGGCGAGGGCAGCGTTTCCGCTTCGCGATCGAGAAGGCGTAGGAAAGGTCTACCGTTCGGTTCGGTGTAACGCCGATAGTTTCAGGGCCGCCCTATTTGGAGAGAAATCGCCGGGTAAACGTACCCGAGATCAGGATGAAACGTCGTCCTATGGCGTCCATCGTCTAGCGGTTCCTCGAAGTATCTCGGTACGGGGCTTCGTTGGTCCGGTCCGGTCCGGTTAGTCCTTAGGATACGGATCGATGATAATGCCACCACGTAACGCCGCGCGTGTTCGATACCTTCGCGAAGGGACTCTTGCAGGCGACTGGCGTCGAGAACGTCTCGCCTCGGCCGAGAAGAGGATGCCCACCGGGGAAAACGGTCTCTGGGAGGATGGCTCTGGGCCCGGCCAGAACGGTAGGGGCCCCACGGTGCTCCTTTCAGGAGAAGGTACACGTGTGATGGGGGTAGAGGATGTAACGCTTCGTTACGTCAGACTCTCGCTGCCTGGAGTCGACGAGTCCCTTCTCTCCGTACCGTGCCCCATACCGAGCAACAATTTGCAATTCTTCCCGCTGAATTCTCGCGGAATCCTCGCGGAATCCTCGCGGCCTCTTCCTCGGATTTGACCGAACGATGCCAAACGGCAGGATTCTTTCGATTCGGGGATCCATAGGCGAGCGACAGCTTCGTCGATCGACCGATCCGTGCAACGAGATCACCGCAACTGTTCGAGCAGAGACCAGCAGAGATCTCGTCGAGATCTAGCCGGATCCAGCCGTATCCAGCTAGGCTTATCGGACACGTGATCGCTGGCCCAGCGAAATTCGCCCAACCGGTGGAATCTTCCAGGAAGAACGTCTCGTTGCTTGTGCAACCGATTCGTTGGCAGAGAGAGAGAGAGAGAGAGAGAGAGGGAGACTGAGACTCTGCCGATCGTGTTTATCCGGCGAACCTCTAAAGGAGTCGATGACTATCGGAGGGGACTCTCGAGGAGGTCGGAGGAACGCGACTCTCTCGTAGGTGCAAATATCGTACCATCTACGAACGCGCGGAGAGCCCAAGACAACTTTCGCCCTCCAAGGCTGAGAAGATTCCTAAGAGCTGGCTTGCTCTGGCGCGGTATGGCGCGGGAGCATCCCGCGCTAACGGAGACCGCGTCCTCGTAGAGAGGACGGCCTTTGAAAAATAAAACGGCTCTCTCTCTCTCTCTCTCTCTCTGTCTTTCTCTCGTTAATTAGCCGAAGAGCGAGCGTACGTCGAGCGAGACGATTCTGTTGGACGTCCAAGACCAGCTTTAACGCTCGATCACGGCCTGTTTGCGTAACCAAAGAGGATCCAGATTGACCGAGTCGAGTCGAATCGAATCGACCGTCGCTTCCGAAGTCTGGGCTAGAAGGAGTTTGAGAAAAGTTCGAGATTAGGCGAGAGGACAAAGGACTCTGGTCTCGCCCAAAAGTAACTGGAATCCGTGGAAATCGTGGATCGACGAGCGGAGATCGCGAGATGGATCGCGAGGGCACGACCTCGATCTTCGCGGTTTCGGTCTGCTCGGGTTCGCCGTGTTCCGCGCCGTCGGCGAATTCCAAAGCCCTGGCACACGCGATCCAGCGCACCCAGGATGCTGCCCAGGATGCACTTTCGGAGCGCAAAGGTCAGAACTTGGGCTCTCCGCGACCATTCCCGAGGACTTTAAACCGGATCGTCGATCACGAACTCGAGTAGTCGGAGTTTAAGTCGAAGTTGGAGAGTAATCCTTGCGACGCAACCGGGTGATCCGGTTGTCGTAGTCATAGTCGTCGTTACGCGTAAACGGGCCTCGTTGGGAATCGCTTCTGGGTACGTACATCGATCGTTGAGAATTCGAGGGGAGGGCGATCTCTCCTCTCTAGAACGAACGCCGAATTCCGTTTGCACAATGTCCACGGCTTCCGGCTCGAACACCTACATTTATAAATAGAGATTCCACCGGGAAATCTTCGGAGAGAAAGAGAGAGAGAGAGAGAGAGAGAGAGAGAGAGAATGCGACATCGTTCGGCGATGGAGACCGTTGAACCGGCAGCCGGGCCGGGGCCGGGGCCGGAGAAAGCTGGGAAGGTCAGAGGTTTGCGGCTTGCGGGCAGATCATCTTTCCACGATGGAATCTCGATGCGGGCTGGCCCGGTCGCAATAACCGTAGCAGCAGCAGCAGCAGCCGCCACGGCTAATCGATTATCCGGTCACGACCACGATGCAACCGAGTCGCCGTGCAGCTGCGGATTCGGCGGAGAACGTCTAAAACTATAGCAACTGTGGTTTCGTGGGAGCAGCGCAGGTTGTCGAGACAGACTCGAAGGCTCGAAGGCTCGAAGGCTCGAAGGCTCGAAGGCTCGAAGGCTCGAAGGCTCGACGAGTTGGTCGCGCGCGCGCGCGGACGTCGCGGTTTGCGCGAGTCGGCTCGGGATTGCGTAAATCTGTGTTACGAACGAACGGTGCGGGAATCGAGCCGGTACAGAGCGTACGCGCAACTCCCGTGAGAGATTTTCGCGGAGGGTCCACGGACAGGTGCGGTGGCCGCTAATTAGCCGCGATGTACTCGATCGCGCGGGGCCCTCGGGCTTCCAAGCGGCGATACGTACACTTATTTCCGAGCTCGATCGTCGAGAGAGAACTCTGCCAGCACGCTCCAGTTCCCGTTCGTGCCGGTTTCGCTCGGTCCGCGCGCGGATCGTGCATCCATAAATCGTCGATTCGCGAGGAGGAGGAGGAGGACGACGACGACGACGAGCTCTCGCGTCGGTTCGGAGAGCTCGAGAGGACGCTCCTCGAGGATCCCGCGGCGCACGGTCGCGGCACGCTTTCACCAGAAGCTCGATTCGTCGCGCGGGTCTTGGACGCGGAAACGCGTTCTATTTCGAGAGATCGGATAAAGGGACGAAAGGGGTCGAAAGGATAGAAAACGAGATGCGAGCGGCGGATAGCGAGAGCACGCGAGAACGGTATCGCGCGTGGGGGACATTGAGAACGATGCCGAAACGGCCGCGTTTCCGCTCGGAAGTCGGACGAGAGACCCGTGGGAACGACGGAGCAGAGATCGTTACGGAATTTGTCGAGATCGCCGTTTATTCCTGCATACTTTGGAAACAACGAACGAGAGAGGCGAGAGAGGCGAGAGAGGCGAGAGAGGCGAGAGCAGGCGAGCAAGCGAAACGTTCGAGAGGAAACGTTCCGCGACCACACGGAGGAGAGACCTCCGGCCAAATAAGCAAGCTTTCCCTCGCAGACGCAACCGTTGCGCAATCGGCGCGTCGCCGACTTTTCTCAAGATCGATCGGCCTCGGAAGTTTCTCCCGTAGCCGAAACCTCCGTCGCGATCGGCCGAATCGTTTTTCGAGAGAGGGTGCGTCGGACGATATCTCGCTTATGTAAAGCGGTCGTCTCGTTTCCTTCGAGATCGTCCTATCGAGGGGGTATCGAAAGACCGAAATCGGGTCCCGAGATAGGTGCGAAGGCGACGAGGCTCTCCGACGGAAAATGCGCTCGCGCCGCGTTGCGACACCGAGAGATCGCTGTGGATGGGTTCCGTGGTACGAGCGCGTCGTCGCGGCCGCGGATGGGAATCTGGCCCAAGGATGACGCGTTTCCCGGTAGGTTGATTCCCGTCGCCTCCTCTAATAGCCGCGACGGCTCGACGGCTCGATAATTGGCCGAACCCGAAAATTTGAACCGCCGGTCGAGGAGAGAGAGAGAGAGAGCGAGACTCGCGGCTTCTTCGATGTCGGAACATCGGAAGTTCGTGGAACGAGCTGTGCGAGGGAAACGGAGAAGAATGGATCGCCGTCTCCCGTTCGAGGAGAGGAGGTTCGGATCGTTGCTCCACTTTTCATCGGAAGGCGGAACGCGCGACGCGCGACGCGCTATGCGCGCAACAATCGCGTTTCCCAATATTGTTCTTGGTCCGAACAATCGATACGGTTCCCAAGCCGGAACGAACACCGGCGAGCGAGCATTCCGCGGGGTTTCCGTTTAATCGCGACCCGCTCCGCGAGCAGCTTGCTTCCCAGGAGCCGTGGAAACGTCGGATGGACCATTTTCTACGGAAAATCCGCGGTCCGACGACGAGGACGATGCTGCGAGCAGCTCTCGATCGCCGTCGCCGAGCCGCGCGCCGGCTCGCTCGGCGCAACTTTCACTCGCGACGTCTCGAGCACCGTGCTCGCGAACCGATCCTTTGGATCTCGGTGCGTACCGTGGATCCTCGAGCAACGTTGCATAAACGATGCGACGAGGACGGCTCTCGGAGCTCGGGGCATTCTCGGACAGCCTCCTCCACGGACGCTCGAGTCTCGAGCACGGAGGCGCGTCGACGTCGATCCAAAAGGGGTTAAGGACAGGGACTCTCGAAGACGTCGAAGCAGCCTGCGATCGATCGGGGACCGAGGGGATCGCGAGGGGATCGCGAGGGGATCGAGGACAACGCCCCGTCCGCGCCTCGCGGTCCATTGTTCTCGGTCGCCGACTCCGCGGATTTCGATCGTTCGCGACACGATGCTTCGAGACTCGGATGGATCGAGAAAATCCGTCTCTCGCCTTCGAAGATGAAACGGCGAGAGAGAGCGGTGTCTCGATAAATTCGCTCGTGACGAGGACGATACCGCGTCGGGAGGACTTCGGAGGAGGTGGAGGAGGCTCTTCCCTCGTCTTCTCCACGTGAGAAAGTGAAAGCAAAAGACGAGCGGCTTCGAGGCGTCGCGGTCGAGGCATCGTCTCGCGCGCCTCGTCGAGCGCCCCGGGCGCCGCGAGCGCCCCGAGCCGAATCCCTGGGGTCCGCGGATGCGAAGATCGAAGCTGCCGAGGCTCGCGATCCTCCGCGGCAGCCGGCGGTGTAACGATCGCGACTCGTTTCCGAGCTTCCGCGTTTCCGACGCGCCGCTTTATGAATATAATTAGCGGGCACGGAGCGCGCGTACCACGCCGCGCCGCGTCTTAATTGCACGCTCGCTCGCGATTGCGACATCTCGAGCGCGCGAGCAATTCCGTGCGAAAAGCGGAATTATCCGCTCATCGACGCGATTCGAGCACCGCGCCGCTCCGCGCGCGTTATGTAACGCGCGGAGCGCGTTCGATGCACGCGTCTTCGAATCTCTCGGCTGCGAGCGAATCGATTTCTAGCTGGCGCGCGGACGAAGATGCGAACGGAGACGATTGTGCAATCGCTTTTACTCGGACCCGCGCGTCGCGTCGCGCCGCGTAATCTAGCCTTGCTCGCTCGACGGCTGGCCGGGACGTTTCGCATCTCCGCGTTGCTTTCTATTTCGCAACGACCCGCCGGATGGATCCGTTCGCGTTTCGATTTCGAGCATGTTCCGAGCCGTGGACGCCGTGTCCCGGCCGCCCGCGACTCGCCTTTTCCATTCGCGGTATCCGCCGATCGCGACGGGACACGCTCGCGATCTCGTGCCTCGCTGCGCCGAGTTTACGGTTTACCGGATCGATTTGCCGCGAGATACCGTCGAAATTCGGCTCGGCGGTACGCGCATCGATGGCGCGCGCCGGAATAATCGTGTAACCCAGAACTTTCGCTCGCCGCCGTTCGAGCAGCTCCTTCTTTCGAAAGAAAGAACTAGAGTCGCGGACACGAAATTCCAAGGTCGTGAAATCGGCCGAGATACGAAGCGATTGGACACGGGTCGCTTCGATCTCGAATCGGATCGCGGCCGAAACGCTTCTGAACGTTCGATGCTGAAAACTGTACGGAATTTTTCGTCACTTTCAGAGCATGGAATCCTCCCAGGAGTCTCGTTCTCGTTCTCGTTCCCGTTCTCGTTCCCGTTCTCGTTCCCGTTCTCGAGCCTTTTTGCACGGGCTGAGAAATGTCGGGAACAAAGGTCGCCGCACGACGGATTGGCCAAGAAGCGGCCGATCGTCCAAAGGTCGTCGCGACGAGCCCTTTCGGCCTTAGGATCAGCGGCGATTCGCGCGGCTGGCCGAGCGAGTTGCGAGATGCGGGATGCGAGATGCGACGGAGGACACCGTTATCCGGAGGATGATCGCGGCTCTTTCGAAACGGATTTACCTTGTTCGGGGATCGGCGTGCGTGTCCGCGATCGCGCCGGTCACGCACCAGCTCTTGGCAAACTTTCGTATCGGAACCTTGAGCCTCGTCGGAGCCAGGAAGAGGAGCCGATCGGAGGAAGTCGTAATTGGCGCGCCGTGTCGGCGCGCTCGGTGGGTCCCTCGATCGAGGGGCCCGCGGGCGTATCCTGAAATAATCGCGGGGTCGTTACGTTTTTCGTGGGAGGCAGCCACGTGTGGGATTTCGCACCAGGCTCGCACAATCGTTTTATTATGTTGCCGGTGTGTACGCGGATCCCGTAATTGTTGGCAAAGCGGCTCTCCGCTCCGTTCCCTCCGTAACGTCCTCCCGCGTAACTCGCCGCCGCCGCCGTCGTCGTCGTCGTCGTCGCCGCCGTAGTCCTCGTCGTCGTCATAGTTCCCGTTCCCGTTCCCACTCGCGGAGGAGGTCGCATTTTTCACGGTGTCTTCCGCCAGGAAGCGGCCTCGTTGCGAAACGACGAGTGCTTTCTTTACCCTCGGGGAAAATCCTCTTCGAACGCGAGTCTCAGATTTTCGGTTTCGGCATCCGCGAACGTCTGGATCGGAAGGGAAACGCGGGAGGACGGTATGCGGAACGTGAAACGAATAGGCATATGGCAAACGCTCGCACGCTTGCTTCTGCGGTTTGCAGAATTTTCATTGACTCGTTTCAGAAACGATGCGTCTCCATCGATCCCTGAATGCGCAACCTTTCGATCGAGTCAGCGAACATCGGAGGAGTTACATCTAAATGCCAGAGGAGTAACATCACGCCGTGTTGCTCATTGATCTTAGACGCTGGATCTTACACCCGGCTGCATCGGTTTCTCTCTTTCTGTCTCCTTCTCCCTCTTTCTACCTCTTTCTTCCTCTTTCTTCCTCTTTCTTCCTCTTTCTCTGCCGCAAAATGTAAACGAGAGGAAAAAACCAAGGATGTAAGGATTTTTATTCCTTGGGCTCGGCCGTTGCGGTCGACGTGATTACACGGCCGCTGCATCATCGTGTTCTTTCTATCTGCGAAAAACATCTTCTTCCACTTTTCTGACCGCGATGCGCTCGTTTTTTTTTTGCCGTTTGCTGCACTCTCGAAACTTTCTGGCTGCGCAATTCAATCCAGTCTAGATCGCATGGACACGATTCAATTCAGATTTTCACCCGCGCAGCGAAACGCATCTTTAAAAACGCGTCTGTCGTAAACAGCAAACTTCCAGCTCCTTTGTTTCGCGAAACAATTGATTTTCCGATATCACGGGAGTAATTGTATATATGTACTTTTACCATTTAAAAATGACGAATAAATCTGTAGCGATGCGTCTATAACAGTTGTTTGTATATTCCCACTGAGATTAATCGATTATAAATTATTTTCAGTTTTGTGTTTCAACTTCGATTTTCGAACAAATGATTCGTGCCGCTTTTCCCATAAGAAACCAGCAAAATTCCGGCACGAATTTCCTGCTGCTCCTAAACAGCCGAATAGCGCCACTCCGATGCAGCGGCAAAACGCCCAAACTGTTCGCCGAATTAGTTCGAAAATATCACGCTAGATGGCGCGCGCACCATATTACCGATGTTCACGAAGCTGTACATTAGGCGCCATCTACCGTGACATTTTCAAACTAATTCGGCGAACAGTTTGGGCGTTTTGCCGCTGCATCGGAGTGGCGCTATTCGGCTGTTTAGGAGCAGCAGAAAATTCGTGCCGGAATTTTGCTGGTTCCTTATGCGAAATGCGGCACGAATCATTTGTTCCAAAATTCAACGGTGAACATAAAACTGAAAATAATTTGTAATCGATTAATCTCAGTGGGAATATACAAACAACTGTTATAGGCGCATCGCTAGAGATTTATTCGTCATTTTTAAATGGTAAAAGTACATATATACAATTACTCCCGTGATATCGGAAAATCAATTGTTTCGCGAAACAAAGGAGCTGGAAGTTTGCTGTTTACGACAGACGCGTTTTTAAAGATGCGTTTCGCTGCGCGGGTGAAAATCTGAATTGAATCGTGTCCATGCGATCTAGACTGGATTGAATTGCGCACAGCCAGAAAATATAACTGATATTAATTTACGAACTAGACTAGCTAAGTGACGTGATAATAAATTCGCTTAATTAAAATATGTCAGTTACTATCTTTATTCAATAAATATAATATTACATTGTAACATAAGGAATATATCCTGGTGTGATGGTGTGTGATTCTGCAAATATATCTCTATATGTATATACACATTAACAAACACCCGTACAGCCGTTTGTGTGTGTTGTGTGTGCGTGTCTGTGTGTTGTGTTTGTGTGTGTGTGTGTGTGTGTGTGCAGATGTGTATACATATATCATCTTTAATATAGATCTTTCTTTCCTAGAGACAGCACAAAACACATAGTATGGTACAGTATCGTTACAAGGACAATTATGAATTTCCGGCGATCCTCTTAACGTTTCAAATGCTTCTTTTCTGAAGCCATGTAATTAAGAGCGCGTTATCGTTTCTTTGATTGCTAATCGTTCCTCTTGCTATCCGACGATGATATTCAAGCTGACGAAACAATCGTTCTCGAGAACTTTGCTCCTCGAGAACAAAACAAACTATTTCAATTAATTCACATCTTTCTCTAGACACGCTACATCAAGAACAGAGTTTACAGTTCCTTGGCTCTCTTTCCTAAGAACATGACTCGGTTGAAAATCGTACGACTGTCCTCCCCACCCCTCCCAGCCCACGCTCCCCTATAATTAATCTATTATTTACAAGAGTCAGTCGTACAGTGAACGCTTCGTCGAACCCAGATCTCTTCAACCGGAAATGCTTGTCGAGAGGACGGGGTCGCGTCAGTGGGGTTAGATCCAAGACAGGTTCAGGTCGGTAAAAGATTTGGTTAACACCTTAACCACGGGTCCCTAGATTGCTTACACCTAATAGACGAGAAACGAGAAAGCATAGAAATAATCGTACTACACGTATAAATCGCGTTTCAGGTAATACGTTGGACGTATTTCCGCGTTAACCGTCGATAAGGCGTTAACATCGGTGGATCGCCCGCTGAAGCGACTGCTCTCGTTCGGCAAAAGTAAAAAATAGGTACTTTCTGGCTGAGACCGGTGCGGCCAGCCCTGACATTAACTAAACGATCGTGTCCCCGCTAGAATTGGAAGAGCTTTTTAAGACCCGCCATCCTCAAAGATGACAGTTTCCACCTTCGCGTTG